AAGACCTGCAAATAGAAATAGAATGACTGTGGCAAAAGAAAGCAAAGATAGTACCAATAGGCACCTTGGGTGCAATCCCAAAACATCTGGAGTACCACTTGAAGACAATCGGCATTGACAAAATCACTGTCAGTCAATTGCAAAAGGCAGCTTTATTTGGAACAACTTACATCCTGCGACGATACCTTTAATAGTATTAAAAACAACATCTGCCTATCCCAGGTCCTTGGAAAGGATTCAATAGGTGGACAAAAATGTCAATCCAGTCTAAACATCTGGCTCACTGTGTGACCAACCATAATTCAAGGCAGCTTTACTTGGAACAGCTTACATCCTCCAATGATACCTTTAACACCATCAAACAACAAAATCTGCCTATCCCAGGTCCTTGGGAGGGACTCAATAGATGGATTAAAATGCCAAATCCAGCCTAAACAACGGGCTGTGTGACCAACAATAATAATAATTTGTCTTTCTGAGTGTTCCTCCCTTACATCTCTACAGGCTTTGTGTTGGGGAAGTATATCTGAAGATCCAGAGAGTTTTATTTATAAAAAACAAGAGTTCTTGAACCAGAGTGGGCAACAGATATTGTTGCATTCCATTTTCCATTACTCCTACACAACGTGGCCAATAATGAGGAATTAGAAGAGCTGCAGTGCCACACTTCAATATTATGTGATCAGACACTTTGCAATACAATGAGGGATGAATACAGAATTTAATATGAGGACTAGATCTATATATCAGATTTCTTTTTATAATGTTAACTTATAAATAAAAAGGGTGCAATGATTGTTCTGGTTTTGAAATCCTTTAGGCAAATCCGAATTGTCAGGGGGCTGGTTAATCTGTCCAGTGGTAGGGGAACACACTTTGCCAGTGCTCAGAAATGCTTCCTCTTATGGAGTTTTGATGCGCTCTGATCTTGGTTGTTTGCTTGCAGACATTTCATTACCTAGCTAGGTAATGTCATCAGCACTGAGTTCAACACTGAGCTACAGGTATTTTCTTCTATTGGAACTTCCTCTTGTATTAATGCTTCATACTCTTCAGGCTTTGACAAACATTTTGGAGGTTTCCTATCACTAGCTATATGACCACACCTTATGTATCATACAGTATGTCTACCTACGTAAATGGCAGCATCTAGCCTTCCTTGGTTTATGTCAAAAATCTCAATTAGTTTGGACTTACGGTTTTAAAATTAAAACTGATTCATCAAAATTTCATCTTATTTCAAGTTTACTGATCATTTCAAAGAATGGAAATGAAAGGATGGACATCAGATTTTGTCTGTTGACAATGTAAAAAAATGGAGGAGTCATCGACTCATATGATTTGGTCTTGTAAATTATTGACCTTCTTTTGGAATAATATTTTAATGTATATAAATAGATTGATGGGGATTTTTTTTAGTGTTAAAGATGTCAATGCCATGTTAAATTATGTCCCAAAATTTTGGGATTTGACTATTTTTGAGGAGAATTGGTTGCATCAGGCCTATGGTGTTCTTAAAACATTTTGAGAAATTGAAAAAGTAGTAATATTCCTGATATTAAGGACTGGATTCAAGGAATGTGTGACTGATCCATTTTTGAAAAGGCATTATACCTACTAATCAAAAAATGACTCAATATGTTTTCCGTGGTATAGATTTTATGATAGTTTGTAATGTTAGAAAATCATTAATTATTATTTTTTCTAAGGTAGACTTAGAAATCCGTTATTTGATTGGTATGTGATAGATATCAATACTTTCCCCCTTTTATGATCTTTTGTGTTTGTGGGTGTATGTTTTGTTTCGTAGTTTTTCATGGTGGGTTTTTTTGTTTGTTTTTTTGCATTTTGTAATTTTGTCATTCCTTTCTGTAAAAATTGTTAAGAAAATAGATAATAAGAAAAAACTACAACAACAACAACAACAATAATAATAATAAATGAGTTTGGACTTGGTACTTGGATGGAATTTAACTTCAAATCAAAAATAAACCTTATACTTCATCAGGGCATCCCTTCAAACCAAGAATTATCCACTTTAAAGTAGGGTAGATGGCTAGCCTAAATATGGGTATGCTCAACAGCATCTGCAGGGGAAAGGGGGTCAAAGAATTAAGATGGCAGCCTCAATCATGAGATCACAGCTGTCCTCTGGACTTTTTTTGAGCCCCTCCAAGGACACCTCTAATTTGGCCATTGGATGAACACAGATATTTTGGCTGGCTACTGCTGATACTTTTGATTGAGTAGTGTTGTCATCTCAGTTAACAATCTGATGGCTTAACCAGGAAGTAGCAGTCTTATCTTTTCTGTCTGTCAGAGTAAGTATAAGGCTAGAGAAAGGGAATTTTTTTTTGAGCCAAAGCAATCCTGCCACACTTTCTACATGGCTTGGAAAACTAAGAAATAGATGGAGCTTTTTTCAACATGCTGGGCCACTGATAACTGTTTATCCAGCTGCCATAAATACTTCCCATTATTGACATGTGAAATGGAGGTTTTTTGCACTTTGAGAAGGTTTTTTTTTTTTTTTCCTGAAAAGAAGAGTCTCACTTCTAACTGGAAGCAGAAGTAAGGGCAGTGTAGCCTGTTAAAAGAGATCTGATGCCAGCTGCTTCCCTCGTTTGGTCTGTGAAAAGATTTGCTCTTTTTACAACTCTGACCTTTGGCCAAGAGAAAGAGTCAGGCAGTGGCCCAGATGTCTGCGGGGAGCCGAAGCAGTGGCTCATGTGCCAGCCAAGCTGTTGGCAGTGGTTCAATGCAGCAGCTTTTTCTACACTCTCCAACACTTCCAGGTTATTTTTTGTGCACCAGAGTTGTCCGTCGCAGCAACCTAGAGACTTCTTTGCGGAGCAGATCTCTCCAAGGACTTACCTTCTTAGATCTCCCACGTATCATTCAACAAAATAAAAGGCAAACAGAAGCTTATGGCAAGTTCTTCAACAACATGCAGACTTAGGGCAGAATCCCAAACAGAGGCTGCCAGAAGCTGAGGATTTTTCCAGTATCCTCTATGCCAGAGAATAACAGAAGAATTGCCAAAAACATTTGTTCAGCAGAGGTACATGCGTACAGGAACCTTGTTATATTTAGTATCACACAGCCCATCGATTAGAGAGGATGCCTGCTCAATGAGTCTTATGACAAAATTGACAATGAGATATAATAGGGTAAGCCAATCCATGACACCACTGCATATTTCATACAGCAACTGGATACTTTCAGTTACAAAACAGAATGGCGTGCTATGCTGCAGATCAGGGCTACATCCAAACTAATCCATAGCATTTGCTTGAGGATTATCTTTAGCCTGACAGATATGTAGAACATTAGCTTAATAGCATGAAATATGTATAGGTAACAATAAGGGGTATGGCATAATTAGGCTGTGCATTGAGAACTATGGCTGTAGGCATCTGCTTGCACAGTCGCATAACTCTTAACGCCTTGTGACTTTATCTGTAGCGCTCAACTCACATGTTTATACTGCACCAGAACTTTCTATAATTGGTCTCAGTACGTATTATTACAACCAGTCTGGAGGATTGCAAAAATCAATCTCGTTATATATAAATATCCATGGATGAATGTTAAGATTTGGGCATCTCCAAGGACTCATTTATACATTAATATACCTCACTGACATAGCAGTTGTAAGCATTTCTATTAAAGTCTCACTGACTGCATCAGAAGTTCTGAGCAAAATGTTTGGATTGCTATGCTGTTGATGTCTTAGCACTCAGCGATCTGTCACTCAAGGGCTGGCAGTTGAATGCATGAGCTGTCCCTACAGGAAAATATGATGCTGTCTGAAGCCATGTCAGGTGATCTGGAAGCTTTAATCTGTGCAATATGATTAAATATTGTACTCATTAGGTAATGTGGATCGTGGATATCTTCACCATACATTTCATCTTATAACTTCATTCTGTTGGAAGTTTAGGAAAAACTCCAGAAGTAAGAGCAGTTCAAAAACTGAATCAGTTACCCAGAAAGATGGTGGGCTCCCCTTCACTAGCTATGTTCAGGTAAAGGCTGGATAGCCACCAGTTAGGGGTGCTTTAATATGGATTTCTGCACTGAGCAGGGGGCTAGACTCAATAACATAAATAGTCCCTATCAGCTATATGATCATCTTATCATTTAATTAGAGTCACTGTGCAGTGAGATGGGCGGTGACAAATTATATATATGTATGTATGTATATGTATATGTGTGTATATATATGTGTGTGTGCATATAAATAAATAAATAAATAAATAAATAAATACTGGTCCCCCCCCCCCCAAATTCTGGTATAATATGGGCTACAGATAGTTAAACAATCCTGATACAGTGATTTGAGATCCTGCATTACAACTCAAGCAGACAATTATGATGGTTGCACCCTCTATGTATGGCAGTTGCTGCCCTCTAGTGTTCAAAGATATTCTGAAGTTATAGTAGAAATGAATGATTTATCTTGATTTTCCTACCTTGTACTTACTGATATTCCTGTTTTCTCATCATTTCACTTGTTTCTGGTCAGAAGTTTATCAAGTGTTCCAAGACGTAAATATAGACCTTGAAACTATTCCTAACACTGTGCAGTTGTTGAGTATGTGCATTCATTGCCAGCCCGCCTTTGAATTCAACCTGAGATTGTATGTGATTCCATAATCCATCACCCTTTCCACTTAGGTTTCCATGATCCTTGTGTTACAGACATTATTATCCAAATTTCCAACTCTTAATTTTGCTCTACCTTTCTTTACTCTTGGCAATTAGGTATCGTACATTCTTCAGACCCAGGTACAAGATTGGATACAAGACAGTCACTGAAATAGCATGGAAGTGTTGCCCGGGCCTCATGGGAGAAGGGTGCCATCATGATAATCCCACTAATCAACCAGGACTTCTATCTCAGCATCCCAGCCCCAGGATGCCTCCAACTCAGAAGATGTTTCCAGGTCCTAGAGCTCCGCCTCATCCCAAAATCCCTGTGGAGTCATTTCCGATACCAAAGAAGAATAATTATGGTGAGGGTCCAAATCTTAATTTGTCACACTAAAGATCATAAAGAAGGTCTTTATGACATTGCCAGTGCTCCTTGTTCCTTTTTATCCAGGTATGTAGGACACACAGAAACAAGCACAGGCTTACAACTTTTATTGTTCACCTGCTGAATGAAACATACCACACATTCACATACACATACGTACCCAACTCAAAGTCTTGCTGACCAGAAAAATTAAAACAGGATACCTACATGCATAGTAGCTCATTCTATGTGATGCTTCCATAGTGCTTGTATACCTTTATATCTTCCACAAAATTTGACGGGTCAATCAAGCTTGGCCAGTCTTATTTCACACTTTTCTCACATTTCCTGTTATTTTCCCTTCGAATGCTGTTATGTTATCTAATTTATATGGGAACTCTGTTACTTTGGGAAATATCTTTTGTTATGTCTTTGACGTTTTCATTTTGGTACTTTTCCACATGTTGCATAAGGTGAAAACTTCCTGAATAATTTTTTTTTTTTTGGCCTTTTTGGCTTGTTTTGATTGAGTTCCATATACTCTATCCTTCATAGCTGTCCATTCACACACATGCAAAGCTGTATATTGTCATTATATTATGACATTGTACAGTGATTAGCATCAGTGTCAATATACTGACATTAATATACAGATATATGGTTCCGTAATTGAAGCAATTACACATAGCAAACATATTCTAATGTATTTATAAACTTCTTTGTCAACAGACTTCAGCACTATAACCAATTGTCTTTTCAATTAATATCATTATCAGGGAGCATAAGAATTAAAATAGTAATCTCCCCTCAAAGAAGATCTGTAGAGATTGAGGAATATTAATTAAACTATGAAAATGCCTGTCCTCTTCCCCTTGAAGACCTAGTTTTTAACTAGTGGCTATTTCTGATATGATAAGTGGGAACTGGGAGTCCATTTTGTATGCCTTTGCAGTAAAACTCTACTAATACCAGAAGCTCAAGTTTGCATCAAAGAAATCAACAAAGCAGATACTCTGTAAATTAGCATTATCTTTCCCTTAAGGTAAGCAAAGATGAAAATTTTGGGCATTAGCTGTACAAAGCAATGTATCCAGTTTTACTAAAGTTATCTGCATCTACTGCAGCATTCAGGTTAGGTCAGAGATTTGGAAGTCTTTTAATATACAATGAAAGTCCAGCAATGGCAGGAACTTACTTTTAGTCTAAACAGATGATTGACTGCATAGCTCTGTTTTTTTTTTCAAGGCAAAAAAGTAATGTAAACCTGAAATTAGTTTCTTAGACTCATTGATTTCTTGATTACGTGCCATCAAGTTGCTTTCAACCCTTAGTGACCACATAGATAGATTTTCTCCATGATGATTTGTCCCTAACCTGTTCTTTCAAGTCTCCCAATGGTGCACTCATTGCCACTGTAATTGAGTCTATCTACCTTGCTGTTGGTTGTCCTCTTCTCTTTCTTTCCACCTTTCCCAGCATTAGAACTTTTTCCAGAGAGCTGGATCTTCGCATAATGTGTCCAAAGTAGGATAACTGAAGCCTGGACATTTGTGCCTCGAGTGAGGACTCTGGGGTGATTTGTTCAACGGTCCATTGGTTTGTTTTTTTGGCCATCCAC